CCGCTTCCGACACAAGCAGCCGGTGGAGCTGAAAGGTCCCGATGGCATCCACGTGGTGCACGGCAGCACGGGCACACTGCTCGCCTCCGACCTCAACAGCCTGCCTGAGGATGACCAGAAAGTGTTGGGTCGCTCACTGGAAACTCTGACCGCCGACTGCGGGGGCTACAGCGACCACAACGCCCGCACCGAGTCAGCCAAATCCACCCCCCTTATCATGGAGAGCCCGCTGGAGATCACTGAGTTATGACAAGTGGTGGTGGTGGTGCTCCTTTAGGCAAGCCGGGGCGAATGGGGATAAAGCACGGACCAGAGGGGCCGTGGCAGGGACCGGGGGCACCCCGAAAGTGGCACTTGGACTCCCTTCCCATGCAGAAGGAGTCCAGGCCAACCAGTGCTTTTTGTTCCGGCAGCCTTGGAGAGCTTCGCCCCGGGAAAGGGCTCTCAGGACCGGTATGCTTTTACTCACCTGTCATTTATCCATTAAAGCATCAATATTATTTTTTTTTCTTATTAAAAAAAAAAGTTGTTTTTTTTTTTTTAAAAAAAAGAAAAGCTAAATCAATCCAATGAGTCCAGGCTGGACAGGGGTGAAGGTGCAGCGAGGGATGTGCCACTGCAGCATTCCCAGGCACAGGCTGGGGACAAGTGGCCATCACACCTGGACCACAGGCACAGGGAGGGCTGGGGCAGTGTGGGGAGACGCTGAGTCCATTTGGCATTAATGTCACCTTTCCAGCCAGAAAAGACCCAAAAAAAAGGATCTAAATTTAAAAAAAACAAAAAACAAAACAAAAAAAACCCCAACAAACTCAAAGACATTTCTCCATTTTGCTGGCTTTATCAAAACACGTTGCAATGTAGAAAAAAAGAGAGAGACTGACAATAACTGGGGCTTCTGGATGTGGAGTGCTTGTGCGTGTCTTTTATGACCTTTTCTCTCCCCTTCTCTCTTGCTTTCGGGGTTTGTTTGTTTCCAATCGTAACCTTGTGGAGAGTTTCGGGCACGGTCTGTTAACGGGACTCAGAAATACACCGTCTATGGCTTTGGGTAACCTGGCTGTCGTCTTTCCTCCTGTGCCCAAATCACCTTTTGAAGAGAAAAAAACCTCATCTTCCTTTAATTCATCCCTCCATCCATCAACTTTGCCAGATGCACCCCGGATTTTGGGAGAAGCATTAAACCTCCCCTAGGTTTGCCCCGCCATTGACATGCTGCCAGCCCTCCAGCACGCCAGGACAAGGAGGGAGACAAGCAGCCAGGCTCACAGGAAGACTTTTTTATTTGTGGTGAGATGCTCCCCTGCATGCTCAGGACCAGGCGCCACGAGTGTCCCCCCTCCCAGGGGAGGAAAAAGCCAGCACCCCACTGCCCCTCGCTGCCACGGCAGGGTCAGCAAAGGACCACCCTCCTCCGCAGTGGGCATGTGAAAGGAAATTTTTGCCCCCAAACTCCCTCTTCTTTTTTTTTTTTTTTTTGTCCAGGGGATACTTGAAATATATATATATGTATCTCCAGCAATTGGCTGGACACAAAATGAGTGTACTGCAAATGTCATGCAAAGCCGGGCATCATAGGGAAATTTAATCTACTTGGTTTCTTTAACTAGCGACCAGGGGAAAAAAAATAGAAATAAAAATAAAAAGCCACTCCAATCTGAAGTGGGATCCCCAAAGAGCTGGGCTTGCCAAAAGCCAATGAGACTTGCGGTGCAAGGTTGTCAGCAGCCAGGAGCTGGGGCTGGCGTTTGGGCAGCAGAAACCGTCCCAACCCACGGGGATGGGTCCACGTTGCAGGACCTGGGCTTCACAAGGGGTTTGGTGTGGGATGAGGATGCAGATGGGAATGACAAGGAGGATGAGGATGGGGTTGGACAAGGAGATGGGGATGGGATTGAGGAGGAGGTTGAGGATGGGGATGGGGATGAAGGTGGAGATAGAGATGGGAATGAGGAGGGGGATGAGGACAGAGATGGAGCTGGGAACGGGAATGAGGAGGAGGATGGGGATGGGGACGGACATGGGGATGGGAAGGAGGATGAGGATGGGGATGAAGATAGGGATGGGAATGAGGAGGAGGAGGAGGATGGGGATGGAGATTGGGATGGGAATGGGGATTTTGCAGTTGCCCTGAGAGACATCAAGGCTGAAACCCCAGTCCTGAAAATACTAACGAGTCCCTTAACCTCATTTGGAAATCCAAGCCCCAGGGGTGGAAAAGGAAGCAGCAGAGGCGGCTGGGGCACTGCGCAGCCCCCAACAGGGTTTTGTGAGGCCGGTGGGCTCCTGCCATCACCATCCGCAGGTGCAGGCATGTCTCAAGGGAGGGGTTTTGGAATCGTGAACCACAATGGCACGGCAAGCCCAGACAGCTAGGAGGTGGCTCCTAGTTCCATAAGTGACGCCGGCAGTGCTCGACAGCCTGTGGGGAAGACAGGGAGGGACGGTGGGGGGGTGGCAGGGACCCTCAGCACCCTGCCCACCCAGCAGAGGGAATGTGGCTGACGCTTACGTTACACTCGAGAGCCGTAGCCATGTTCTTGCACCAGTACTGCGGGCCCCAGGCGCAGGGGTCGGAGCCCAGGAGATCCTCCTCATGTGAATTGCAGGCTCTTATTTTCTGCATTGCAAAGAAAAAGGGGGGGATGGGGGGGGGGGGGGGGAAAAACAAAAAAAAAGTACTGCCCCTCTGCCAGGCCTCCCTCAGCCTTGGCCGAAAGATGCGCACACAAGGCCAGGCTGCAGTACCCATGACATGGGGACACTCACGGTGCAGACGAAGGTGGGGTCCATCATCTGCACGAGGAGCCGCATGGCCGCTGGCTCATACTGCACCACGAGAGCCTCGCACTGGGGAGGAGACAGGTGGTGAGCCCCGTGCAGGGGTCTCAGGGGATCCCGGCCCGGCTCCGTTTTTTTTACTCACTGTGCCAGTGAGCGGTGTGGGCAGCATCTCGCAGCCCTTCTCCAGCAAGTCGCCTAGCTCCGCCAGCGTCTCATTCTTCAGCAGCTCGTTATCAAAGTAGGTGATGACGATCTGGCAGACGTTGCAGAAGGCACCCGCACCCACTGCCAGCTGCTCCAGCGCACCAGCCCCTGTGGGATGAGGGATGGAAAGGCCATTAACACCCCCTCAGCACCCTATTCCCTGGGGACGTGATGTCTGGGTGCCACCTGGGTCCCCCCATCTCACCGGGGTGTGCATCTCTGCTGCGGGGGCAGCAGTGCAACATGGTGCAGACGGCCGCCGGGTCGGTGGCCTCCAGCAGCATGATGACCACGGCTTTGCCGTAGGAGTTGACAAAGTCCTTGCACTGCCCGATGACACTGTGGGGGAGCACGTAGCACACCTTCTCCAGGTCATTCACCAGTTGCTCCTGCCGGGAGAAGTCAGACAGAGGGATGGGGAACCCCCCCCCACTCCTTGCTGTCCCCTTTTGTGCCCCTTTCTCAGCCCCCCTATTCCCAGACCGCCGCAGCGGGGCTCACCTCCGTCATGTTGTTCTCCAGGAGGCTCTCAGCCGCCTTCACAGCGAACTGGCACACATCACATAGCGGTGTGGAACCCTCCTCATCCTGCTGGGACAAGGTGGTGGGACACACACCAAGACCACCAGAGCCACCCCCATCCCACTCAGTCATCAATCCCTCCTAAAGAAATTCCCCACCTGGGAAAAATGGGGATGATCAAGGAAAAAAAATGTGAAATAAGTCTTCCCCTTCCCAGGATTTGGATTTTAAGGAGCATGGTGGAGTGGAGGGGTGTCCCCACTTACCCTCAGTGTGCTCAGGACCTGCTTCACCTTCTCGGTGAGCAGCGTGTGGAGGGACAGGGCCGAAGCGGAGGAGCAGAGCCCCAGCTGGCCACAGAGCTCCAGCGGGTCCTGTGGAAAGAGATGTCCCCAGTCAGGGGGGCATCACCCCCCGAGAGGGAGAGCCTGTGCCCCCCACTTCCCCACAGAGGGTGATTTCAGCCCATCAGGTGTGGGTCTTCCCACCTCAGCCTGCTGCCAGTGGAGAGGCCAGAAAATGGCAAGGAAAATTAAAATATAAGAGATGTACAGCTGTTGCAAGCCAGAGAGAGCAGAAAAAAAATTTTAAAGTGTGTAGGAATATAAAGCAGGGTTTTAATTAAAGAAATGAGACCAGGGCAGGATGAGGTCCCCTTGGCTGTGCCGTTTGGACCCTTTTTTTTCCCGCAGGCCCAGGAGCCATTTTCCCTCTTACCAAGTGCAGGAGCAGCTGGGCAGCCATGTCCGCGTACTTGGTCAGGTAGAGCTTGCACTGTGTGGGACAGAAATGCTGTCAGCACCCAAGTGGGGACACCCACTGGACACCCCCCAGCCCACCCCAGCACTGCCCGAAAGCAGGCAGCGGCGAAAGATGCTCCCATGCTGTGGTGACACCAGGGAGGAAGAGGGAGCCCAGCAGGATGCTGGTGCCCTTACCCGCTGTGCCAGGTGTGGTGGCAGCCCTTCGCATGCCCGCTCGGTGTGGGCCACCAGCATCTGAGAGAAGCCAGCATTGGTCCCCAGCTCCATCTGCACGGCCGCCACCAGCTGCAGGCACTCCCCACACACCTCTTCCATCTCCTGCGGGACAACACAGGCAAGGGGCGTATCGGTACCCCCCCAAAAGAAAACCAAGCACCCACAGAGCCTGCATTTGCAGGGTTGGGATTCAAATTCCAGTCACAATCTGGTGCAGCTTTTTTTGGCCAGCATCCCTCTGATCCCCCCACTGCATCCTGCAATATCCCAGCCCCACACTGGTGACATGCCTAATCAGATGCCATTTCAGCTGGTAACTTTAATTATTTTTTTAAATCATTGTTAAATAGGTGATGCTCAGCTGATTCTCATCCTTGAGCTGCACCGATGGTATTCTTGCCTGTGCCACGGTACCTGGGCCTCGCCCTGAGGCAGGTCCTGGGGATGGAGCAGGAGGGGCACGTTGGCGATGAAGGGGGAAAACAAGTTGGCAAAGTCCTGAGTAGGGCCCTCAGCGGCTGGCGGCAGCTTCTGAAACTTCAGGGCCCCCGTGGGGCTCTCTTGGTGCTGGCACAGCTTGATGGTCCCACACACCACCTTCGGGTTTGACTGGGGAGCAGAAGGATGGGGGCTTGGGGGGGGCTATCGCCCTGCTCTCCCCATCATCCCTGGGTCATCTCCATCCCTGTCTCCAGCTCACAAAGGCTTTGTCCCAGGCTCTAAGATCCTGCCTTGACCCGCAAGCCCCCAAGACATCCCAAACCATGCAGAAACACAACTTCAAGGGGGGTTTCCCCCACCAGTTACCAGCACTTGCTTGCCGAGCTGGGTGAGGACGAGGATGCTGGTGTCCACCATCTTCTTGCACTTGACAGACCAGTCCTGGAAGGGCAGGTACTGGCATTTCTTATCCAAGAAGAGCTTCACCTTTTCCTAAGTGATAAGGGGAGAGTTCAGGGCTGAGCTGGAAGGCAGGGACACACCAGCCCCGCTTCCCTCCCCCCAGCCCCAGCCATGACCCACCTCAGTGCAGTTGTCCTGCAGGATTTTGGCCACCACAGAGACGGCCACCTGGCACAGGTGACATGGGATCCCCTTCTGCTGAGAGAGAGGACTCATCAGGATGCTGCCACGGCACCGAGACCCCCTGCTTACTCGCCAGATCCCAACCCTTCACCCCAAAAAAATACCCCACCAAGGGGCACTTGGGTACCAGATGCTCCTCTGGGTGCCCAGCATCAAGGTGGCCAGGCTGGGATTCTCCCTCCTCCAGCCCCAAGTTTTGAGGCAGAATGGGCACATTTCTCCATCCTCCCACATCCCCCTGCTCCTGGTGAGGTTACCCCCGGGGCCTGGTCCCAGACGGTGATCCGGCAGAGCTCCAGCGCCCCACACTTGGCTGCCGTCACCACGTCACGACACCAGTCCTCCGGCCGCTCGCCACAATCAGGGAGGGGGCTGGCCACAGCTGTGGGCAGGGAGAAAGGAGCCCATGAGCCCTTGGGGCACCCCAAAACCATTTTCTGCCCCTCACCAACCTCCCTACCAGCACCCCGACCCCAACCCTGCCCCATGAGACAGGGGCAACGCTCCTCACCCTCCCACTGGTTCACCCTCAGCTTTTGCAATGGTGGTGAGGTTGCTGGGTTTTAGAAATGATTTTTTTTTTTAAGCCTGGCAAAGGCTGGCTTTGTTGGGCCACCAAGTGCTTCTGACTTTTCCAGTGGGATACTGCAGCAACTTTGGGCCAGTGTCGAAAGCAAAGCTAATTTGGTCATCATCCTCAGCTGCAGAGAGGCCTTCAGCACACTGGGGAAGCGGTGCTGATAAAACCAGCAATAAATATTCCAAAATGAGCAAACCTGGGGTGCCAGCCAGCACTCAGTCCCGCACAGCACCCGTCTAGCCCCGCTGCAGCTCCCAGCAATCCTTGAGCAATTCCAGGTTTGGACTGGATTTTTTTTTTTTTCATTGCCTCTGAACAACAGCATTTTCTCCTGGATGTAAATTCCTGGCGTGGCAGTGTGGCAGTGTGATGCAACACCAGCAGTTTAATTGCCACCTTGGCATGTCAGGATTCATTCATGATGGGGCAAGTGTTTACTCCCAGTGGGGGCTGCACCCACCCAGGATGCGGACAGGGAGGTGGCGAGGAGGTGGGACAATCCAAGCC